CTTATGCTAATGAAGCCCGGGAAATTCAAATCCCGGGCTTCATTAGCAAGTGCGGTATGCATACATTACCCCGCTAGTTCGAACTAGCAGGGTAGTGTAGACATACCCCCATTTATTTCACCCAGTTCAAACTGGATGTTGTAAATAATTTGGCCCATCATGTGAACTTCTGTCACGCCTGCCATCATTACATCTAGGCGAATCACGGAAACGAAGCGGGACCGCTAAGATCACCCACGAAAAGAGAATAAGCACAAGCCAAGTATGGAACGTGGCCATATAACCACCGGTGATTTGAATCTCCAGATGGCACTGTAACACCATCACAAAAAACAAACGGCTGACAGTTGTAGGAAAGAGGGGATCAGCTGAGTCAAGGTGCCTGCTGTGTATAATTACCCATCCCATCACAATGACGAGTTATTGCCAAATGCTAAAGCCGCCCTTTCATTTTGACTGAAAAACAGCATAGTAATACTTTAAGCACTGAGTGCCTCACAGGAGAAAAGCACACCATTACGATTGTGTTGTCCTAACAATTTTGTGCACTACAAGATCCGGGTAACGATGTCAATTAACACCAGGACCTTCCATGATAGTAAACATAGAAAATCACTGATAAAATGAACTTGTTAATCATGCGTGGTAATTTCTCCATATTGCAAAACAATCACACAATTCGTCTCTGAATTTAGAAGTGGCAGGGGCCAAGAATCAGGCAGAGTAGGAGGGCTGCCGTACTGAAATTTGCAGTACCTGTCCATTTTGCAGTGCATGTGATCGAATCACTCGCTTACCCCAAGAGGCAATGAAAATCAGTGAAGCTGAACACACGCAGATTTCCCAGCCAATGTGACAAGGTATTTCAGGGACCTCAGAGGTGTTTAACATCCTGATCAGCTGTGCCAATACAAGAAAAAGTTCTTTGTAATGTACAAACAAACAAACATTGAATGGGAAAAAAACTTACAGATGAATTGAGGGTGAGGTTCTCTTCTTGGCTTCCTCAGCTGAGCTGGGAAATGAGGGTTTCCTTTACAGAACTTGGGTATATTGTACAGTGCAACCCCTCTCCCTGACCTTCAATATAGTTCCCTGAACGCAAATGGGCAGAAGCTGGTGTCGTTTTGGCCACACCCTGCACGTGCCTGTCCCATTGGGGTGGGGGAAAGCGAGCTGCATCCTTTCAAGTGCTGCAGAAACTGGCTTCTCTGCCCTATGGAGCAACTGTGGCTCAGATTAATGTCTTGGGCACATGCTTCTCTTAGGGCAACAGTTGTGGGGAAGTGCCACTTGTTCAGGCCCCATCTAGACTTGTGGGAAGATCAACGCTGCTGCAGACGATCTTCCGGCATTCGATTTAGCAGGTCTAGTAAAGCCCCACTAAATCAAATGCCAAAGGCACCCCCATTGGCATCAGTACTCTTTGCTGTCTCAAGGAGTGGGGGAAGTCAATGAGAGCATTTCTCCCATCGACCTCCCGCTGTGGGAGTGATGCCGAAGTTTGGCTTACAGTACTTCGACTCCAATAGCACTTGACTTCTATGGGTTACCTTCGGAAGCAAGTATCGAACACAGTGGTACTCAGACTGAGGCTCACGAGGTGCAAGTGGCTCTTTGAAACACATGATATTAAAACACTGGGTGATTTAAACAATTAAACAAGCACAAGTTATTATCCAGTCAGGACACTTTTGCTATGTTATTAACCAATTAACCAATTGTTGCTAATAAAATAATGATACTTGGTCAGTTATTTTGCTATAAGAATAATACAGATGTATATACCAAATAATTCCCATCACACTGCTTAAATATGAATATATGAAACGATGAATTCTCACTACCGTGACTCCTTTGGGCAGTACTGATCAGTAATTCGACTCCTGGACTACTGTGATTTGAATATAACTGATCTACGAGAATGGACTCAATCCCACAGAGTTTTCATGGGCCAGCAGCCAGGGCTTGCAAACATCTAGGAGATATTACTTACATTGGGCCAGATTTTCCACTTAAATCAATTAGAACGGGCAGGGAGTAAGTTACCACAGCATTTGGCCCAGTGTGTATCTGCTGCATGTGAAATTTATGAAAAGTTAGAATTTTTTCTTTAAAAACTCAACTAAGTGAAAAAAAGACCTGAATAATTCAGTCCAACTCATCAAATCAACATACCAAGAAGGTAAAAAGTACTCATGTGCAGACAGAACAGAGGGAAATACAAATATGCAAAAGACATTTACTCCCTATATTGGGCAAAAATATGGCAAAACACTGTGAAGGGAGCTGAGAAATGTTAATGAAAATATATGATCAGTGCAGAGTAAAATTATAAAGGACGTATTGGTTTGGAAGAGACATCTGATGGGCTTCACTATAAAAGAATCGGATTATATTCTGAATCGAAAGTGCAGAGAAAGCATGTGACTTTGTGGACGTGTATGTCAGGAGAGGAGAGCGAACACGAATGGGGAAGAGCGCACAATTGTCTTTTATATAGAGGAAAAGGTCCCTTTTACAATTAATAAATGAACAACAGATGTATTAATCCAGAATTGAATATTTGTTAGGGAGTCCGAAAGGCTGCTTAACAGCCATGGCTTATAACCATCTGCAATACCTTCTACCGATATGCTTAGAACTATGAAACAAGCTACTCATGCATGTAATGTGCTAACACCATCATCAGCCATGTAGAATTTTGGTATGACGTAGGACGACCAAGAGACCACTAACCTGGTGGACTTAAGGGTTCTGGGGATCTGCTCCAATTCCAGCTGCTATGGCTTTATATTGTAAAGCTGTGATTTGCGCTAATAGATCTCACCTCTGTTTTATGCAGATTAGGATGCCAGGACAAATGTTTATACAGCTTTTCTCATGCATATCTCACTGTGGCAATGAGAGGGCTAGAACTCACATCCTCCAGGTTCATTGTTACTGGGAAGAAAGCTATGGAACACAGATGAATACTGTAGTTTGGATCCTATGCAGGGGTGATGGTGACACACACAGCCTAGCCAATTAATTACAATGCTTTGGTTCTTACGTTTTTAAATCCTCTGTAAAGCACTTGAAGTTCCCTCTTTGTGAAATTGGTTTGTGCTTCAAGCTGTTCCAGTCCTTCGGGCCGATAGCACACTGTGGTCATTTCTAATTCATCTTCAATTTTATCTAAAGAAAAGATATGGAAACATTTACTTTGGTTGCAACCTTTGCTATATTGAAGTGATGGACAGAGCAAATAACTGGAATATTGATGCATCTCAAAAACACCAAATAAGAGACGAACTAACAAGGAGTTTCTCTGTACAACTTCTTTCAACCCTTTAAAAGCAAAATTAAAACCAAAGAGTAGAGCAATACCCAAAAGTCCTTATGAGGGGTAAACATTTTGTAGTATTCTGCTCCCAAGGCAGAAACTTGATGACACAAAGAGGACCGGTCGCTTATCAAAGTCCCACTAACGAATGGTGGCAGTTTCATGTTTAAATTTTTAAACATGTAAAATGTAAAGGTAAAACGTGTTAAAAATTTTGTAAAAAATTTTGTAAGCCGCCCAGAATATTTTAAATAGAGAGGCGGGGGAAAAGTATTTTCAATAAATAAATAAATAAATAAATAAATAAATAAATACCCACACAATGCACACAGGCAGAATCCATTTGGGGTGCTAGTCTTGAAGAGCATGCAAGGGTCAGTGGTAATTGACAGAGCAGATGTGCTCACACATATTACACAAACACGTGTTATAGTGAATGGAAATAGAAGGAAACTTTCTTTTGTACGCTAACAAAAGAGCTTGGCTTATTGGAGACGTTATGGATCACATTAATCCCAGGTCTAATTCAGGTCAAGTCCAATGAAGCTACATCTAGGAGCCTTTTGGGGGAAGTAGGTAAGTGCCCACATGGATGTGGTGCAAAAGTTTTTCTTGTGAAAGGACATGGGTGTGGACATAGGCAGCCATTCCTCCCCCCATGTGGCTTGTACCTTGCAGAATTCCGATTTGGCTAGCAGTGCCAAAAACACATAGATATGAATAGATGCCAGTCTGAGACAATCAAAACCAGTCCTGAAGCCAGAGGCGACTCTTTGTCACAGCTGTCCCCTCTCCTTCCTAAGCCATGAACCCAAACCATCTCTATAACAGAAAGCTCAGTGCGCACTTCCAGTATTACCTCCAGTGGCTGTTGTACACACCTATGGCAAAGCTACTCTATTTGTGTCCTGTAGAAATCAGTTGGGTTACCGTGGTGAAATACGGAGATTCCTGCTCAAATGCACAAGGTAAAACTAATGGTCAGAGATGGGTTTGAAAAAGAAAATTTTCCAGGGGTCCAGCAGAGGAATCGGTCTGGAAAGGGAAAATAGCGGGATTGGGAGAGGGGGAGATATAGGCAGGGATGGCTGGGAGAAAGGAGCCACAGTGAGGGGAGCACAGGATCACCAGGGGGTAGGGTTGGGCTGGGGGCAGAGAGGGAAAGGAGCCAAGCTAGGCAGACAATTGCTGGGGGAGGGGGGACATAGCTGGGCTGGGGGCAGCTGGAGGGCAGAGGGAGGAAGGAGCCAAGCAGGGATGGGGCACAGAGAGGGGAAGGAGCCAAGCTAGGCACAGAACTGCTGGGGGGCAGAGATGGGCTAGGGGTGGCTGGGGGGGCAGAGAGAGGAAGAAGCCAAGCTGGTCATAGGATAGCTATGGGGCACAGTGGGGAAGTAGGGTGAAGGGGCATCTCCAGACAAGAGATGTTAAGGACTAGTCGACTAGTCAACTCCCACCCTCTTGTTGCGTCTATCAGATAAAGGCAGCAAATGGGCAGGGGAGGGAAGAGGGGATACTTCAAAGAGGCACATACTCAGGCTCCATGTGACGCTGCTGCTTTGAAACGCCGTGGTGGTGTTTCAAAGGGGCAGCGTCGGGATCAGCTGTGCTGGGGTCAGCTGGGGTCAGCTTGGTGTGGCACTGCCGCTTTGAAACACCAAGAGGGCATTTCAAAGGGGCAGCACCTCACAGCTGAGCTTGGGTTATATGCGGCGCTGTCCCTTTGAAATGCCACCATGGCGTTTCAAAGAGGCAGCACCATATGGAGCCAGGGGTCAACTGGAGATCCAGCTGATCCCAGGCTCTGGGGAAATGCTGTGCGGAGCCGGCAATCAGCTGGAGAGTCCCCAGCTCGTCCCGGGTTCTGCTGAAATGCTGCACAGAGCCTGGGATTTTAAAGTGGCAGTGCAGAATGGAGCCCGGGCTCAGCGGGGGACTTTGAGTCCCCCACCGATCCCAGTCTCCATGCTATAACTTCTGTTTTGGAATGCACAAGCGACACCGCTGGGGACTCTTGTACATTTCAAAGTTGGCACCTGCATGCAGCCCAGAATCAGTGGGACTTCCCGCTGGCCCTGGGATGTATGTGGAGTTGTGCATTCTTCCTTTGAAATGTACAAGAGGCCGAGCTGGTCTATATGCAACTCTTCAAATAGCTTGTTAGCAGAAGGAATGTATATGGGGAGTTTTGAAATGCTGTCAGTGGCCACATTTAAGACTGGACTTGACAACCACCCACCTATCAGAAATAATAGAAATCACTCCTGCCAGGAGGAGGGGGCCTGGACTCGAATGAACTTTAAAACGTCCAATCAGAGTGATTGTGCACTTTGCTACAGGAAATGCTGCAAGCCCCTCCCTCGCACAAGTTATTACTTCAGGAAACTAGATGCTGCACCCTAAAATATTCTAATTCCTGACTGGAAAAGAGGAATTTGAGTATTTTTGCTGTCTTTTCCTCTTTCCCAGCTACCTGGAGTATTCACGCTCCATGGATCTAGCAATCAACCCCAATTTGAAGACTGACACCAATCTGCGTCATTATGAAATATTCAATCATTAAAATATGTACAATCAAAACCCAAGTGCTTCCTTCCTCCCTGTCCCTGGACACACACATCACACAAGCAATGCATGTTCGGCAGAAGATATTTCAAGCTGATCACCCCTGTTCTTCCAAACGTGATAATCCTTTTATGGGACTATGTTGGTAATGAAGATGAATGCCACTGCACATACTTGGAAAATTTGGCTCTTGGGGATTTGTGGCCCTCACCTTCAGATCTTTTTAATGACAACACCACAAGATGTTAAATTGAACATCTTGTCAAAAGGAACCTACATGAGCGAAATGAAGTGAAGGCAAAGGGATTGGGACTAAGGTTAGTTCAATTGAGAACAGCATATTTTATTAGTGATCTAGCTGAGAGGCAGCAGCAGAAGGGAAACTGTGAGCAGAGAGCAATGGTGGAGGAGATGGGAAAGGGGACAGTGAGGTTGGACACATAAGCAGAGAGAGACAGAGCCCTCGAAAGGAGAAGAATGAAGAGACACCCCTAAAGACGGCGGAGAGAAGAGAATCTGGAAAAAAGAGATACTGTTAGAAGGAAGAGGAGGGGTTGGAGGAGAAAGTAAAAAAAGAAGGGGCTGTGAGATGAAAAAAAAGACAGGTGGCTTCAGGTGTGTCTACACAGCAAAGTTATTTCGGAATAACAGTCGTTATTCGGAAATAACTATGCGAGCGTCTATACGGCCATTCCGTTATTTTGAAAGAATTTCAAAATAACGGACGGCTTATTCTGAAATCTGTAAACCTCATTCTATGAAGAATAACACCTATTCCGAAATAGCTATTTCAAAATAAGGCCTGTGTAAACACTCCACTGCTGCTATTTCGAAATAGCCCCTCACTGGGGCCAGTCTAAGTTATTCCTCCTGGGGCTCTAAATCGAGGTAGCACGTCTACATTAGGGGAGCCTGCCTCGGACTAATTTTGAGGCTTCCCTGCAGTGTAGACGTGCTATTTCGAAATAAACTATTTCAGACTAACTCTTCCGGAATAGCTCATTGCGAAATAACTGTGCAGCGTAGACGTAGCTTTTGGAAAGAAAGGATGGGTGGGAAATAAAATGTCCTAAGATAAAGAAGTGGAATATGGGGGAGGAAGGAGGGAGATAAAAAGAAACAATGTGGTGGAGAAAAAGATTTTAATGAGGGAAGGAGAAGATAAATGGGAAAGAGAAAAAAAGAGAATATCAGTCATCAAGGGATCCAACCTAGGGAGACCCACCTCTAGTCTGAACATGATGTTTCCATGAGTAGAAAGGTGAGATTTGCCTTGAAATGAATTAAGTCACATTTTCAATCTGCCCGGCTCCTACCCCATACAATCAACCAGACTATACCTGTCAGCCTGTGTGTCTCCTCCCCCTGCAACTTCCCATAGTTTAACAAGCATTGCAGCACCAAGACAGTATTTAAGGTTAAGTTTTGTTTGCTTTCTCCTTCAACTCACATTCTCAAACCTTATCACCTTTAGTGCCTAGGCAAATGTCCTATCCCCTAGCCAGTCCAGGACCTGACCCACATGTCCCTTATTCTGCCTTCCTAATGCTGGCTCCATTCTTGAAGGAGCCTGGATCGGCTGTCTAGTTGCTCGGGGGGCACAGTAGGGGTATGTCTAGACTACCGGGTTTTGTCGACAGAAGTTTTGTATCTGTCGACAAAACTTCTGTCGACAAAGAGCATCCAGACACATTGAGTTCTGTCGACAAAGCAAGCTGCTTTGTCGACAGAACCCTGTAGTCTAGACGCAACCCTACAGGCAATAACACCTTCTGTTGACAGAACTCTGTTGACAGAAGGTGTTATGCCTTGTAAAATGAGGTATACCAGCGTCGACAAAACTGCTGAGTTCTGTCGACGTTATGTCGACAGAACTCAGCAGTAGTGTAGACGCTGGTATAGTTTTGTCGACAAAAGTCTGCTTTTGTCGACAAAACTCAGTAGTCTAGACACACCCCGAGACTCAAACCCACCACCTCTCGGGTCCCCCGGCAAACACCCTATCCCCTAGGCCACTCCAGAATCCACCCCACCTACCTACCTTCCAGGCCAAATGTCTTGTGTTAGAACATTCCACGCGCC